GGTTCAGAAGAACAAAATCTGCCTTTTGGAGTGACCAAGGCAGAGCCCAGATCTCAACCCAACAGAGATGCTCTGGAATGACTTGAAGAGAGCCGTACGCATGGGATGTCTGAAGAACATGACAGAGCTAAAGCAGTTCTGTCGGGAAGAACGGGCTAAAATCCCTCCTGAACAATGTGCAGCTCTGATCCACAGCTACGGGAAGCGCTTGGTTGAGGTTATTGCTGCCAAGATGGGCGTCAACCAGTTATTGATTCCAAGGGTTCACTTACTTTTTCCACTAGCATTCTGAATGTCGAATGAGTGTGTTCAAGACAGACATGGAGGATCAGAATTGGTTTTGTGTTATTATTTTAGGCACACTATATTTGTCAATATTCTTGACTTAGATGAAGGTTAGATCACATTATGACAAATTAATGCAGAACACCATGAAATTCCAAAAGGTTCATATAGTTTTTCTTGCAACTATACTTACATACACATACACATACCCATATACACATACACATACACATACATATTTCTGGTACATCACTAAGAGTTTCTCTGTGCAAGTATCTCAGAATAGTAAGTATTTTGAACTATTACAGAGTTTATGTATATATATTAAAAAGCTTAGTTCACAAAACAAAACTGCCCATTGCTACACTCTTAGTCTACATTATCTGTGTATGGCACACACTGTTGAGAGTAATTTCAGTGCCTCATCTCCCTATAGTGTCAATTGAGAGAAGATGGCGCATCCAGCAGTCAGTGCATTATATCTGAGTTAGCTGAACAAAATTCAGCAGTATCAAGGCTCCTCTTCTCTCTCCTCATAAAGCAAAAATGCAATGTATTTCCACATGTGGTTATTTATTTATAAAAAAAAAAAACCACAAAAAAAAACCACCAAGAAACCCCATAAAATAATTTTATTAGAATACATGAGAAGAAGTACTTGTTTAATGCAATCAGCCCAAGAAAGATACTTTTTATGTTGGAGAAAGAAGCACCAGAAAAGGAAATGTCTCTTTTTTTTAGAAATTACTTCCATTCTGCCATCATGCTTAAAGCTAAGCATTTACGTGCTTTGCTAAATAGTTGCTTAAATATATGCATGTTGTAAAATTATGAGAAGTATGAAACACAAAAACTCTATTAGCTAAACTGTGTGGAGCGATAAGGCTGTTTTATATTGAAGCATCCAAATTGTTTTATTGAAACTATATGTATCCATTTTAAGCCAAAAAAACCCCCAACTTACTGATTGCAGAGTCATAGGAGGTTGAGTTGTGTTCATCTCGGATAAGAGGAAATGGTGACAGGTAAGCATGTGTACAATTCTTCGAAGGTGACTGATTAGCTAAAAGTGAAATAAAGGTAAAGATTAGTATTTTAGTGCCTTAACAATAAAATACTTTAAGCCTGTACTTCAAATGGGCAAACTGAGTTTCACAGGTCAGGATTCCAAGTTCTTCCGCAAATAATAGCTTACAGTGGATTTGGTTTGGTAAGAGATAATAGCCTTGTTATCCAGCCAAGGATATTCTTTAAAGGGCAACACAGATTTGTACTAAGGGAACAGTAAAGCAGTCTTGCTGAAGACACACTGCAATTCATATGCAATGCATACGTATACTTTTATATGCATATGTACTTTCCTCTCCTGAGGGGTTAATTATGTCCATCTCATTACTGCATGTGCCACACAAAAAATAATAATAAAAACCAGGAAATTACTTTTTCTCTTGTGAAAGAACAATGAAAAATATCAAGCATCTTCAGAAAGTTTACAGTCTCAACAAATATGAGTTTAGTCTATGGAATCAATATCCACAGAGAAGGGTAATTTCACACTTTATTCACTTTCTTCCTTGTGAAAGATAAAGGCTGAACATAGCTTAAACCACATTTAAATTTCAGATTCCTGACCACAGAATTCTCCAGATAAATAACAAGGGGAAATTAACTACAATGAATATTACATTGGCCACCCAAGAACAAGCAATATATTTAGCAATATATGGGTTATCTAAGTCAAATTTGTATGCTAGTACCTACTTCTCACAAGGACTGTGGAAATCTTGCAATAAGGAGAGGGAGCTCTGCACCTCACAGGTAAGGTCAAAGACAGGAAAATAAGTTTTGCTTGACCTCTTCTTCATGGGAAATTTTGGCTGTAAAATACTATCTGATCTTCTAGAATCTTGGCATGTAGTGAAAGAAAGCAACGGGTCATCTCTGAATTTAGTAGAGGAATTATTCTGGAGATGATGTGTCCCACACCATTTTCACAGTGCATAGGCAACTCCACTGTGAAAATTGTGCAGAACTAGCTGGAGAAGCTCTCCAAGCAAAAAATCATGGACTATCCCGACCACCAAGCTCTTTCCCCCTCTGTTACAGAAATAAACAGTCAGTTTAACAGTAAGTGGCAAGAGACTGTCCTGATAAGAACAGACTCAGTTTAACAGGGCAGCTGTAACACTCACAGCGTAAGCTGATAGTTAAACATGTATCATTTTATCCTGGGGTTTCCTTTAGTACAAGCTACAAAAATGTTTGTCAAGAATTTATTTTAGGGTAGTTGAAGGACCTGATCATCAAAGATGCAATATGAAATCCAGTGATCCATAAGACAGAAAAAAAAACGCAACACAACAGCTTTGAAAACAAACTACTGTAGATAATGTAAAACAAAAAAGTTACTTACTATACCAGAAATTCCACATGCTGGCGTTATTCTCTCTTACATTTCCACTAAACCAGCATCTCCAGAAGAAACCTTCATGATGGAAAGTGGCCTTCTCTCCCTACAGGAAAAAAAAAAAAACAAAACAATAAAAAAACCCCATTACATAATTTTTAAATAGCTGAAAGAATCAAGTTCAATTGAAATCAAACATTGAGGTAAAACCCACCACCATCATAATGAAACACAGTCTGTTTGAGTATAGGTTAGCTATAGCATAGCTAAACAGTTATACTTTCTTTGAAATAATGTCATATTGCAAAAGTAATACCACGAAAGACAAATTTATTCTGGAGTTGATTAGAGCTGGTTACAAGAGGTTTTGAAGCAGGCTTGTAAGCCTCCAGGTCAAAATGAGTATATTCAGAAGTTCATACAAAAGTAAATTTGTACAAAACAAACACATCCAAGAAACCTGCATATATAATTCTTATTATAAGTAAAAATGTCAATACTAACCACAGTATCTTCAGGTGCTTTTGAACACCTTCCTACTTCTGTAGCAAGAAGCCAATAATCAGTTCCAAATGCTACCAAAAAAAGCAAAACCCCCAGAGCCGCAAAGAAACCTCCAAAAAATATCCCCACACTCAGTTTCATTATCAAAGTTATCTTAAAAAAAAAAAAAAAAGAAAAAAGCTTAATTACTTAAGAAGAAACAGTAAAATAAATTTTTGGGAAAGTGACTAAAAAGCTGTTTGGAGAATACAGCTCATATCTGAAGAAGTTTCTCTTCACTTGACTTTCTGCCTGTGCCCTTCTTCCCAACGCCCTGTGAGTTGATTTGTGTCTCCTAATTTGTGTTCCATGTGGCTGACTCAAGCCTGACAGATGAAAAGGGTCTTCTATTTTAGGACACTGATGGCAGAGCTTCGTTCTGTTTCTCCGTCTGGGCGAGGCCAGTCAGAAATAGCTGACCTTCCCCTAACTGATCAGGGATTGACTTGAGATATTATTGCAGCTGGTGCATCAACATCAGTGAAGATGGAGATGGAGACAGAGTTGCGATGGCTCTGTCCATCCACATCAGCTGTGGTACAGAGCACACAGCGACAGCAAGGACTTCCAAAGCTCAGGCTTGCTGGTGAATGTCTCCTTGGCTGCTAGCAGGGAGTGAAACACATGCACCCCTTTGGAAGTTAGTGTAAGTCACATTGCTAAATGAAGGCTGAGATATTTTCATAGAACTTTAAAACATGGTAGCCAAATTTCAGAAACGTGTTTGAAAAATCCTAACCTTTATTATGAACACAGTTAGCTTGAAAAATTTGCATCTTACCCTTAAAGCAACAGCTTTAATCACACCAAACTGAGAATTTCACTGCTTTATTTATTCAGATACATGTTATCTGCATATATCACAAATGCCTGCAATTAAAAATCCCTTCAGCACCTGATAGAGAGACTTCAATCTTTTTTTAAAAAAGCAAACATTTTCCCATACATGTGCTTTAGACATTTTGAAAGGTCATGAGGTTAAACATTTAAATTCTAAGGACCCACTGCACAAGAAAATATTTTTTCAACAACTTCTTTTCATGCCAAGTAAGCCTTCCTAAACATCTCCCATGTATTACAGGGCATGCACCTCTGAAGATTTCTTGAACTTATATTAAGCACCAGATCCTGCAGTCCTTATCCAGTAAAATTTCATTGGCATTGTCTATCACCAGAGTAGAAAACGTTCCACTGACAACTCATGATGGAAAGTGCTGGGATCAAGAGAATGATAAAGTCAGTTTACTCCAGAAAACATTTGTCACAAAATTTTATTGCAAGAGACTTAGGTGTCCAAAGGGACTCCTTCTTCCAATATCCCAGTATCTCAACAGTGTCTCAGTGTTCTCAAGTAGAGCAAGGAAAAGACCGTTTCTTCCACCTCCCTTCATTTCGAGACAGATGAATCAGAGATGTGTCCTCAGTGTTTTTAGAACACTACATTATTTGCCTAACATCATATTCACATTTGTTACATGCCACATTTTATTCAAACCTGATACTCTACTAATCTCTCACATAAGCACATCTGATATTCTGTGGCCTTTTTTGCACTGCATAGTTTCAGTGTATGCAGAACACTAAACGAATTTTCAGTCAAAGCGATTCCTGCTGTATTTGCTTTCCCCGGCAGCCACTGACGGAGTTCTCTTTGCTATAGCAGAAAACGATGCTTCGAAACATCACTTTGGAAGGCAGTGTTTTATTGTTCTTTATTCAAGAAAAAAAAATATCTTCAGGATAAAGAACATATAGAATGTGCTAGAAAATAAAGGCAAGGCATATTTTAGAAAAGCATTACTTGCAGGTTAGAATAACACTTTTGGTCAGTCATGAAGTGGTCAGTGTATTAGATGATTGTTGTAGGTCCCTACCAACTGAAGTATTCCATTTCTATTCTGTTTTAATGTGTCCAAAGTAGGGAAAACAAAACAAAACAAACAAACAAAAAATCCCAAGGATTTAGTTCAGGACTAACATGCCCAAGTAGCACAACCCAGATTAGACTTGTAAAGCTCAGCTCAATCAGTCAGGTAGACACTAAACTCTGCCTAGTTTCCAGGGTATCTTGCTGGCTCAGCTGCCACTCCAGAAGGGTGTGTTTCTCTCCCAGTTTTAACCATATCTGCGAGCCCCATGCAAGGGTCTTAAATACCTTATTTCAGCTCAAATGATAATAGAAGCCAACGTGATGGTGACTGAATCAAGACTGGAGAGAGGGATACAGGTCAGGTTGCTCTGGAGGCACTACTGAGTGTTTTAATCACACCTCCATCAAGTCTAATGGCAGCACAGATCACTATTTCACACAGAGATGTCATAATGCAGAAGTCTGAACTCTGAACTGAATCCCATTTGGCGGGCTGGAGTTCCCAACCATTTAGCTGTCGTGTGGCCTTAAAAAGCATTGGCCCAAAGCTCAAGAAATTTTATTCAGTGAAATCCAAAAAATCAATGATAGCAATTTTTTCATGATATCTCATTATAATAACAGACAAAATTTAATTGATTCTGATGTGCTGTTTAACATAATGCTATTTGGTTCATATTAAATAATTTTTTTTTTCAGTGTGACTGGATATGTGTTCATAACCTCCAACATATCAGTTCAATAGACCTATATATGAGTACTACAAAATGGGACAAATCCAAATTTGATGAATTCTTACAGTGAAAATAATATAAATGCTTCTCATTTTTCAGCTTTACAATTCTCAAAGCTTTTTTCCAAGATGGTTATGCACTGCTATTCATTACTGTAACTAAGGAGACTGTGATGCACAATGATGAAATTACTTTTTCAACGTCACATCAGAAGTAAAAAGAGAACTCCAGCCACCTGACTCAGCCACTGAACCACAAATAATAAAAGAAATAACATGGCTGGTTTCAGTCTTATTGCACCTACCTGGCTTCAGGTCAGAAATATGTCAGTGACTCCATGCAATCATTTCTGCATGAGAGTACTGTACCCTCATGAGTAGCATCACTGAAATCAGTTTGCATTAAGTTTCACTGAATTCAAATGACAGCTGAATCACTGCCTGTGCAGTACAAGTATTTATTTTTAATGTACTGTATATGCATTCTGGTCTCAGTTTAGCCTTTTCATCCTGAGAGGATCTAATTTAATTATTCTCTTTTATATTTATGGCACATTCTCTGGCACTGCTATCTTTCAAATACTCTAACATTTCCAGTATTACGCCTGGCTATGTCAAGAATGAATCAGAAGCCACGTTAAGACTTGTTATGTCAGCTTAAAAATGCATGTTATCCACTACTCAAATACTCACAGAAAGTCTTACGGCACTTTTTGTTCAATTAAAATAAATTCCGAAGGTTCCTCAATAGAAGAAAGAAAATTTCAAGGCCAAGCTTATTAAGCCAAACCAATCACTATCCTGAATCTTCAACAAGGTCATTCCTCAACTCCTTCCAAAGCTCCTAAATTTCTACAGAAAGACAGGCACTATAAACTGAAGTAACTTAGCCAAATTTATCCCTACTATGACGACAATGAAGTAATTAAATCAGTTTTAATATACAATCAGTTTGGCCAATTAAGCCCAACATTCATTGATTTTGTTGATGCATAGTGTGAAGATTGAAAGGCCCCCACATAATGGATGGATTTCAATCTCATTTAACAAAGCTGGCAAAAGTTTTATGATTTTATTTCTGTTTATTTTTCAGACAGTTAGGGCTAAATTAACTCCTAAATCTGCCTGTTTTATTTATGTATCTAAATAGCTCCAGCTTCAATATAGTATCTGAACCCTTCCTTATATTTAAAAATAGAAAAGAGGGGAAAAACAAACCAAAACAATAGCAGGCTGTTTCTTTCTTCCTTTTCCATGCAAACGAAAAAAAAGCTTGATTAGTTTATAGGAGGGGGAGGTTGTTTATTTGCTTGTTTATGTTTATGTGTGATTGAGTAAATGTCGTGTGTGTATGTTTGGAATTGGCAGGCAGCTCCTTATCTGTGCTGGCAGATACATCCACGATCTAAAAACAGCCTTTTAGAACTGGCTGCATGTCTCACTATACACCAAGAAACAATTTCAGCAGCTGCCTCAGAGCTCAGTCCTTCTGAGACCTCAATGCTCATTTATTGTTAAAGAAAAACACTCTGACCAGCCTTGGAGCATCTCACCCACTGGTTCAGATCTTCATTCTGCCTATCTTCCCCAGCTGGGCAGTATGATATACATTGCACCTTACACAATCCATTGTCAGCAGCATGCTGTGCAGACATACAGAGTGTAGTACACCTTGTCCATTAAATCTTTGGCTGGGATTCATCTTACCTAACACTAGACAGCTGCAGGGTAGCTGTCTCCAGTTAAGTTGGTCACCTCAGGTTTCCTTTACAGTCACTTTTACGGCACAGTCTATCTATCTGACCTATTTTTGGATGACTATGTCAATGTGCAATTAATCACAGCCTAAAAGTGCAAATACTTTCTTTTTTCTTTTTTTTTTCTCTCCACTGACCAAAAGGGTGCCTTGAATAACCAGCTTGAGATATGACCACTTTAATCTCAATACTGTAGTAAATTAGGCCACAAATCACAGAATCACAGAATGACTGAGGTTTGAAGGAATCCCTGGAGGTCACCCTGTCCAATGCCCTACTCAAGCAGGGCCACACAGAGCTTGTTGCCCAGGACCGTGTTGGCTTTTAAATATCTCCAGGGTTGGAGACTCCAGAACAGCCATGGGCCACCCAGACCAGTGCTTGGTCACCCTCATTGTAAAAAAATGTTTTCTCATATTCAGAGGGAAGCTCCTGTGTTTCAGGTTGTGCCCATCGCCTCTGGTCCTGTCACTGGACACCACCAAAAAATGCCTGGTTCCGTCCCCTTTTATACTCCCCCATTCAGGTATTTATACACATTTAAAAGACCCTCCTGAGCCTTCTCTTCTCCAGGCTGAACAGTGCCAGTTCTCTCAGCTTTTCCTCATAGCAGACATGCTCTAGCCCCATCATCATCCCTAGTGACCCCTCACTGTACTCTCTCCAGTATGTCCAAACAGCTCTCATACTGGGGAGACCAGAATGGGACTCAGCACTCCAAAGTGTGACCTCACCAGTGCTGAACAGAGTGGAAGGATCCCCTCACCTGACTTGTTGGCAATGCTCTGCCTAATGCAGACCAGGACACTATTCACCTTCTTTTCAGCAAGGACACACTGCTGGCTCATGTAAAACATGAGCAGAAATTGTAGAGAGCACTAGTCCTCTACACGTGGA